AATGTATAGCACTTCTGAAAAGATTATTCTATAAGTGTGTATATAAAAGAAGGATGTGTCTTCAGATTTTAAAGATAAATATTCTTGAATATAATTGAATCTTTTAACATTTTATTTCGCACATATAAATTCCAACGGTACACCGTTTCAACCATTAGTGTTTCGTAAAATTTGAACCATTTAATTTCACGTATCATCTGTGAATTTTCGAGCAACGGAACTTTTATCTACTTTTATTTATTACGTAGATAGAATATAGTCTGTCTGTATACAATTTTTATGTCTAAGGCGTTTAAATTTCACTTTCAATATTTTATTATATATAAAATCCTCTTTTATTCAACATAAAAGAAACAAACAACTTGGTTGAAACTTTAATAAAAAAGTATAAATTACGATAAGAATACAAGAAGTTAATAACTAACAAACTTTATTTGAAGCGTGTCTTCGAAATAATTGACAGTCTTTGGTCCTCATGTATAACTCATACTAAGGTTCTTTGCGTCAAATTTAACAACAAATAATATATTATGCTTAAGAATAATAAAATCGTAATAACTTTAAACAAGAAAGTTGATTAACATAAAACAACTAGACAGTCCTACTGAATACCTTTCCACGTGTATTTTTAAATATATGTATTTGAAGAATAATATAGATTTCTTTACATACAAACAAGACTTTCGAACAAAGAAGGACGGCATTCCAAATAAATATTATAAATGCGAAAGTTACTTTATCCATTTCAAGGACGTGGACGTGCTTACTGTCTTTGAATAAAATTGATGTATAATGGAGGATTCGACCTTGGAGAAAACAGCCAGAACTTTGATCAACATAAAATATATATTAATAAAGACTTCAATATAAAACTAATTTCAATTAGAGAAATTTCCAGAATACATTTAGTGACGCGTTCAAAGTAAAGTGCAATAAATTATCAAGAGGTAATAAAATTTAACGGAGGAATTAAACACAAGTTTTACAGTAGTAATGATCTCGAACAGGTCTGGTGTGGAATTACGACAAATGCGTAATGGTCGTCTCATGACGTAACTGCTATAATCCACCACTTTCTTGAGATGCCTTGCGGATATTGTCTCAGACTTTCAAATGGTCACACGTGACAAATCAGAAGAAAGATCAAGTCGTAAAGCGAGAAAAATATACCAAAAAAATATTTAAAAGTCATTTTATCGCGAACAGTTTAATGTTAGGTCATTTTCTATGGCAATGTTCTGCAATGAACATAAAATTATCTAAAATATTTTACATTTCTGATTACTTTTATCATTCTAAAAATAAATAAGAAAATATATGAAAGTGTTACGATTACGAGTTATTTGTAAACATTATGTAAACGACACTGACAAAAAAATTCAGGAATATTAAATAGAAATACATATATGTGAACAATCATGTATTTAAATGATATCAGAACATGAGAAGTATTGAGCGTCATGTAACATTCAGAGAAGTCAATCCGATACATATATTTGGTTGCTTTAACCACCCATGTCGTGTTATCCGACTATCCCTTTACGCAATGCACATGCAACGCATACGTAATTAATGCATGCATGTTTAGCATGCAGTCCACAAAACTATGTAACTGTACATGCAATATATGACAAATATTGCCACAACTGATTTTATGTATTGAGGTGACGCTAAATTTTACGCCTGCCCTTTTGTAAATCATGTGTTAGCTTTTGCAATTTGCAAATAGGCAATGAAAATCAGTGTCGTAAGTTCTTGTTATCTAATTTTAACTTATTTTAAGGGAAAATTCATATTTTTCGTAAAATATGTATTCCAAGATCCACTTATGTGAAATCAACAGAAATTAAAAAAAATATTTCATATTTTAACTTATAGTACCTCAAAAGAAATCTGAACTTATTTTAAATTCAGATGGTAGCTAGTGATGAATTTTCGTGCCTTACAAGAGTGGAAAGTCTCTTTATGAATACAAATTAATGAAAAAGAGACCTTTAAATTCATCCTACTTAAATCAGAAACAGTAGGCAACAGTCATATCTCATATCAGTTAACTTATAACTTATCATAGGAGCGCTTAAGATTTTGTAACGATAAAACTCGGCTCACATGATAAATAAAATATGTACGCTTTTTACTACTACGAGAAACGAGACTAATCGGTGGAAGGTACGTGACCAGAGAACGTGTCACAGTAGAGGATAGAAATAATGAGGGAACACGCCGACAAACACACACCTGATGTGAGGATTACTATTGTGGGTTAAGTTCCGACATCAACAAACATAACTTGTGCTATCTTGTTGAGTCAAGATGACTCAAGACGTCAGATGGTGTTAACTGTATTCTATGTTGTAACTTACAATTTGAGAAGTTTATGATTTCCCAAAAATTTAATAAAAATTACGACATCTATGTATCACATATCGAACACTAATATTCACTCAACACTGATCTCATGCTTTTATAAACACTCATTACTAAATTCAATGTTCGTTACATACAGATAATTAGGGAAGTAAGTGCGAAGTTCCTGAATGGTTCCAACTAGATATTAGATTTCAGCACGCTCGTGCACTGTGTCACGGGGATCGGGTGTCAGACTTGGTGCGTGAAAACACCTGAATACTCTTTTGTTTCACTCGCGTACAGCACGTGATCTAAATGACGAACATAGAGAAACCTATGTATATTCAATTCCATAATTACGTACAGACACTTTCGATCGTAAAACCGCTTCCATACGTGGTTAACGCTAAAATAGATTGATATTTGTTTTGTTCGTCGCCCGTTACCGTTTTCGTAGATAGCCAGCTTTTCTTGTATGGCCGGTGATGTTTTACGAGTCCTAGTGTCGACCATGGCTGGTATGAATGCGCGTCTATACTGAATTGAACCTTAAACAGAAACCGGGCAACGTGTCACGGTCACCTAACAGGATTACCTGTTCCACTGCGCAGGTAAATTGTACTATACGGACCAGAAATGCCTTAACCGGCTTAAAATATTGCTCGGATTATGACTGGACGCAAGCTTTATCCCACTCGACCTTTAAAGGTGCTTAGTCTCCAATTACAATCACGATTTCTTCGAACTAACTAAATATATGTCTAAAAGACAGATAGCAACAGTGTAAGAATGTAAACTGAATCGTTTATAATACAATTTCGATATCGTTTCAAATACAGTCACTCCCCAAATATTCCACTACATAACAACTATAGAATATTAAATTAAATTTTGCTCACGACTGTACCCACGTTGATATAACATATTGATTCATATAAACTTGTTATTTAAATCAGTTTCTTATTACAATGGCGTGTTTACTAAGTATTTGTGACACACGCCGGCACACATTTGTTTGCTTGATTGATGTATCGTGTTGCAAAACGCTTGAATTCAATGCGCAAATAAACAAAAAATATATATCTGTGATTATTTTCACAACCGCAATTTTTTTATACAAATCAAATGCAAAAAAATCTTCCTTTTGTTAATACCACTAATATTATGTTTTGGTTCTAGTACTAACTGTCAGCTGTACTTAAAGTAAATTTATCAACATAATTAAATCGAAATTCATTTTTATTTCATATCTCCTAATGTTCACTATAACAATTAAAGATGGTGAAAAAAAACTAATAAAGGCAAATTTAAAAAGCATAATGTATTTTATTATTTAAGTTTTTTTTATATTTTACGTATCTTAATTATTAAATTAATTATATATATCTGATATAAATTTATTTCTGATAACATTTAAAAACGCTCTCCACGTGATAATTATCATAGATTTTTTTTTTATTTATACAATTATTGATAAAACGTGTTATTTGAGATATTAAACGTGATAAGTGAATATAATATCTCGTTAAGAACTTAACAATAGAAAACTATTAAAAAAGTATATATAAAAAATAAGTTAATAGCATAGTTAAAAAAAACTCTTTAATTAGGTACATTTAAAAAAATTGCTGTTTTGATGTATCGATAGCAATGCACCTGATGCAATGTTTACTTTGTTGTTTGTTAAAAAACTTGCGAAATACACATTACTTTTAATGATATACTGATTTATTAATTTTAGATTAAATTCATATCATGATAAGGGTTAATGTAAAATACGATACAATGCGCACTTAAGTATAACCGTTTTTTGCATAGAGACGTATTTATTGCGTTGTTAATTAATGTTGTTTTAAATAATATAATATGCAGATAATATAAAAAATAATAATTTACATTTAATAATCGTACTTGTTTTGTTTGACGTATATGTTTATATTAATTGTACATGTCAAAATAAATGAGAGAATAATAAAAACACACTCACCAAAAGATGAATTACTAAAAGAATATAGTACTCGGCAATTGCTGTATTAAATTTCACAAATATTTTAACAATAACTTCTTTAAGTAATTGATAAAATCAAAATGTTAAGATATCGATTTACGTAGTATGCACGTATTTATTCGATGCTGGCTAAATACAAACACTACCAAGACCACGATATTTCATACTGCTTCGCTTGATTGATAAACAAAACTTCCGTTAACAGCAGCGCGCGCATTTATGTGTTGCCATAAGTAAAAATATATAATTTTAGTATAGCTACATATCAGAGCTATGCTATAAATGAAATAAAATAGTTATAATAATTGTTAGTATTGTCAATAGTGTCAAATTTATGAAATATCCAAATTAGATTGCTTGTAACAATTAACTGTAGTTTTTGTTTTGGTAAAAGAATTATGACTATAATATATGTCATATACTCAAAAAAACATTCTTTTATATATTATAAACAATGGAGGCAACCCTAATAATATATTTTTAATGTTATAATATTTCATATCTAGATACTTATTTACCTAGGTGAATATTTTAAATTTCAATGTCAGAGTTGACAATTAATTGTCAAGTAACCCCTCTGCCAGGGTATCGCCACATTTGTAGGGTTTTGTAAATATAAATTGCCCTATAAATCGATCAAAATATGGGATACAAATTTTTGAGGCTAGCTTCAACTTCATTCAGGGTAAGTTTTTATTTTTTTTTATGAAACTTCTATAGCAATATCCATTAATTGACATTTGCTTGTTATGCAACCCGACAATGCCCATTACTTATTTCTTATTAAAAGATGTTTTCTGAAAATATCAGCGTATTAATAAGATAAAAACTGCTCATTCTTAGCTTATTTTTTATATCCATCATTGGTAATTAAAATACTGCAGTGTCTTTGACCTTCACACATGTGACCGTATGTCAAAGTAACGTAAATTAGAACCAATTTTAAATTGATAAACTGTATCATTATTGTTTTTAATAATAGTACATAAATTATTAAAAAAATACTCTATTGTTGGGAATATGTTAAAAACAGAATATTCTTCAAATTATTTAACTTTTAATTCCATTATCACAGAGTGGAAATGTACCAATTGGTATTAGACATTACTCCTCTGCCCATGACGCCGACGTAGTGGTAATCGGTTCAGGCCCTGGTGGATATGTAGCAGCTATCAAAGCAGCACAAATGGGTTTGAAGGTATGAAACAAATACATAAAGCATGATGATGTAATTTACAAATATAATAAACAAATACTAATCTAAATAAATAATCTCACATTCTATGAAATATAATTGTGTAATATATTGTTTAATAGCTAAAAGAAATCTTATGTAAGTATCTTTGTTTCCATAGACCATCTCCGTTGAAAAAGATCCTACCTTGGGTGGTACTTGTTTGAATGTTGGCTGTATTCCCTCAAAGGCCTTACTTCACAATTCCCACTTATATCATATGGCGAAACATGATTTCAAACACAGAGGTATTGAAGTGGGAAATATTTCTTTCAACTTTGACGCTATGATGAAGTACAAGGAAAATGCTGTTAAAGGCCTAACCGGTGGTATCGGCATGTTGTTCAATAAGAACAAGGTATAATTCTCAACATATTAATTAATACTTCTCCATATTAAATAGTCAATTTAAATTGTGTTATGGTTCATTTCAGGTTAAACTAGTTCGAGGACACGGTTCCATTGTAGCTCCAAACAAAGTTGAAGTCAAAGGGGAGAAAGGCGTTGAAACTATTAACACCAAAAACATTATTATTGCAACTGGCTCTGTAGTTACACCATTCCCAGGTGTCACGGTAAGTAAATACAAGTTAATTGACAAATAAAATTTATATATACAGAACTTTAGTTTGTAAAAATATCAAGCAAATATCTGATTTAGATTGAACTGCAAATGTTCATCTCCTGTTAAACTAATCACAAAAAATTAATATATTATAAGGGAAAATTCATATCTAGAACCATTTTAACAATGAAAGTATTGTATGTCTTTAACAAGCATTTTTCTATAAAATGTAAATTTTGTTTTCAGTTTGATGAAAAACAAATAGTCTCTTCAACCGGAGCTCTATCTTTACCTAAAATGCCGAAAAAGATGTTGGTTATTGGTGCAGGAGTTATTGGTCTGGAGTTGGGATCAGTTTACCAAAGACTGGGTGCTGATGTAACAGCCATTGAATTCCTTGAGAATATTGGAGGTTGGTTAAATATTATTAAATATATTTAATTAAATAATTATGTAAAAAATATGCAGTAGTAGGTAAAAGCATGCAGATCATTCAATATTTTTCTTCTAATATTATTAAGCCAAAACCTTACAAAATTTTCTGAGATACATTTATGTATGGAATTTATAATGTTAAATATGCTAAAGGTATTCTGATGAAATTTTAATATAATATTGCTAAGATACAAACCTTATATTTAGGGTGCAAATAATGCTCTCACATTCCATATTACATAGTGAAACAAAATTCATACAGTTGTATGTAATAATGTGATAACGTTTCTAGATGTCAGTAGTGCTTTTTTTTTTGTTTTTTGTGCGCACTGGGAAAAAATGCTTTACGCATCCCCTCTCCGTCGGGGGACGGTGAGGGGTATGTGGGACTCCCCGGGAAAGGATTCCCGGTATACCTACTAAAATAACCCAGTCCCGCTCCGACCTCGCCTGACTGGCAGGGGGCTGGGAATCCTGTTTGCATCCAGCCCCAGTAGTGCTAACCTAACATGATCTGTCATATTAAGTATATGCAAATCATTCATCATCATAGGAATCTGTATAAAACCTAAAAAGTCATAGACAAAAACTAGTATTATTTTTAGCATTTTTGTATGTAAATAAATTATATTTTTTAAGGCGTCGGTATTGACGGTGAGGTTTCCAAAACCCTGCATAAGATCATGATGAAGCAAGGCATGAAATTTAAACTCGGCACCAAAGTTATGGGAATTAAGAAAGATGGGAATAGTGTGAAGGTAGATGTTGAGGCTGCTAAAGGTGGAAATAAAGAAACTGTGAGTAATTTATATTATCAAAAGATATTAACTTGAACTATTAATGACAAGGTTATGTAATTGATTAAATTTTTATGAGCTTGTTATATGTTAGTAATTAAGTAAGCATAATTTATTTCTTCTAATTATTTTCGAACAATACATGATTAAATAAATCTATTTGTTGCTAAAGTAATTCAAGTGAACAATATTAATATAAATCTCTGGAGTGTCATTCAGAACTATTTTTATCTACAACTGATAACATATCTGAAAAACATTGCTTGAGAATTATCTTATTAGAAATATTATGCTACTTTGCTGACATTTATAACACAGTATAATATTATAGTTTGTATGGGCATCAAGTAAAACCCATTTTATAAATAATTATTAAATTCAATAGACATTTTTGATATTTTATAATATAATAGTTTGTTAAATTCAAAGGCACTGCAAGAATATGGCATGTAATTATTAAAATGTTCTGCAAGTTACACGCAATATCATTCTGATTCATTCTGATTACTTGATTAAATAGAACAAAGATAAATGAAAAAAAAAGTAATATTATGCTAAGGCCAAGGAAACGAGATAAAGAATGTAAACAAACTTTCAAAGACGCCTGAAGTCTTTAAATTTAACTGAATTTAATTAACTAATCTCTGTTGAATAAGTCTCTCAAGTCTCAACAAATGTTGAATAAAATTCTTATTGTTATGAATCTTATCTCAATGACTATGTTCCAATACATGTTCAATTACGATAAAATTTTGACTCTTATTAACTATATTAAGATCTACGTCTTCTGTTAAAAGTTTATATACGCATTATACTTGACGCCATTATTACGTATTATACAAATTATCACTGTGTTGTCTTAACTTATAAAAATTGTTTAAACAGACACTAATTAATAATACTCCGAATTTTACTAAACGTTTTATATTTTGCATCGTTTTGGCATCGCTTATATACTCATGCAAAACGATGCATGTATAACATGCATAATGCATATAGCGATACTATATTTTAAGGCAATAGTATCACAAGTTAAGCTTTTGCAAAAAATTAAATAGTGTTACGTAATTTTGGAAACGGTTCGTTATATTAAAATATATTTTTTATTTCATACAATATATAATTACAAGCAAAAATGTCCCTTAAGTACTTAAAATATTTTACATGAATTGATTTAATTTACTTTCACACAGATATAAAGAGAAATTAAGTTCTTATATTCTAATCAATACAATATAATATTATGGTAATATATAGTACCCTTCGTGTGTACATATTCTAAGAGACCTTTATGTACAAAATATCCTTTACCCAAAATATAACTTAAAAATTAGACCTTATTGCTGAACCAATTAGGTTGTATTTCGCTCTTGTATCCAATTCCGTAATTGTCTTAACTTTGGTGGTGTGCCATAAAGAAAATTTATATATTCTGTTCTATTCCATTCTAATACTTCTTCTTCTACCTAGCAATTTCCCAGCTTTTAGCCAGGGTCTGCCTTAGATGTGTGAATAGTTTTTGGCTAATTGTTTTTACGACCGGCCCGCCTGCCTGACATCAACCCGTTTTTGGGAATGCATTAATCAGTGATGTCTAAATATATGATTAAATAGTCAGTGGTGGCCTAGTGGTTAAAGGGCCCGCCTCTCGTTGCCGAGGGCGCTTGTTCTATCCTGGCCCGGGCAAGTACCAATGTGATTTTTCCTAGTCATATGTATATTCTAAGACTATTTAGACATCAATGATTAATGTTGATTCCCACAGAGGGTTGATGTCAGGCAGGCGGCCGGTCGTAAAAACAAATAGCCAAAACTATTCACAACATGCAAGGCAGACCCTGGCTATAGCTGGGAAATTGCCAGGCAGAACAAGACTATATGTGATTAAATCTAATTACAGTTGGACTGCGACGTGGTATTGATATCTATAGGTCGTCGTCCATTCACGGAGGGTCTTGGTTTAGATAAGGTCGGCATTGCCTTGGACGACAGGGGCCGTGTGCCAGTCAACAACAAATTCCAAACTACCGTGCCCGGGTAATTACATATATATTATATAACTAGTCGGTTTAGCTATAATTAAACTTTTTTTGCCAAAGAGAAAGCCGTTCGATATATTTCCAAAAAATTTGTATTATATGTATTAGTGCCACAGATAATTATAATAATATGTTTTGACTGAATCAAATTCAAGTCGTCACTCTTATTTGTCCCTAATATATACATACATAATATATTCCTTGAAACGTATTACTTCTTATTACATTATTCAGACATGTGTTTAAATCGATGTTATTTTTTCTGGTATATTATTAAAATAACGTACAGCTTCTCGTCCTTTGATTGTTTTTAAATTATTATAACAAAAACTATTGTTTTGCAGAATTTACGCTATTGGTGACGTCATCCATGGTCCCATGTTGGCCCACAAAGCCGAGGACGAAGGCATCGTTTGTGTCGAGGGGATCAAAGTTTGTATATTATAAGTATAATAACACTAACTGCGTCTCACGGTGTTACCCGCGGATTTCCAGGATTTCCGGGATGTAAAGTAGCCTATATGTTATTCCTGGACGTCAGCGTCCTGTTTACAAAATTTTATCAAAATCGGTTCAGCCGTTTGAGCGTGAAGAAGTAACAAACATACACACACACTCACAAACTTTCGAAATTATAATATTAGTAAGATTTAGTCATTGATTTATATTTAATCAAAGTTTCATTCCAGGGTATGCCGGTACATTTCAACTACGATGCGATCCCATCGGTTATTTACACCAGCCCTGAAGTGGGTTGGGTCGGGAAATCGGAGGAGGATCTCAAGAAAGAGGTTTGTTATAATGAAAAAATATATAAAGTAAAGCCTTTTAATGATATACCATTTGCTAATGTTGGTATTTTTTTTGTTATTCTAAGCACATCCTAAGTTTGCAGAGCTAAAAACAAATCAGAAAAGTCGCTGTAAGGCTTTTGAATTTTTACAGATGTAGACAAGTGTCTTGTTGTATTTATTATCATGAAATTGTACTTATATCTTTACGACTACGAATATTTCTTAACAGTTAGATATTTTATTGTTCGCACATTTTTATTGAATTTTGGAGCTATTTTTTCTTAAAAAGTTTAGTTAAGTAACCTCATTTATTAGAAAAGTTTAATATTATATTAAGTAATAATGGAACAATTATTATTCTTTCCAGGGAAAAGCATACAAAGTGGGCAAATTTCCGTTCCTGGCCAATTCCCGCGCTAAAACAAACGGCGAGCCGGACGGCTTCGTAAAGGTTTTGGCTGACAAGGCGACCGACGTTATTCTAGGAACACATATCATTGGACCGGTTAGTTTATGATATGTATATTTATTTTATTTTTTATACCTGATGGAGATTTGCAGATATGTTGCCACTCTTATTTAGGGAAGATGGGAAGGAAAAAGTGGGAAAAGGGAAGGGGTAGGATAGTGTGGGAAAAGGACAATCAGTTGTCTCACTCATCGAACAAAATTCACCCAGTAAAGACTACTTTACGCTGATCAGCCAGCCAATTTTCGAGCTGCACTTAACCACTTCTAGGCTCTACCATCATATATATTCATAAAATCAAAATTAATTCACAAAAAGAAGACGGTGAATTAAGTTACTAAATTTTACTTTAAATTAGTCAATTTTAATTTAAAGTGCTATCAATTGAAATGATATTTCAATAATTAAGAAATTTGCCGTCACATATAAAAATGTATTGAATACAAATATTATTTATATGTAATTTAACTGGTAATGAAATTAGTATCCGGCTTGTATATGCTCAAGTGTGGTTATTAATATATGGAGTTAGTAAATTTTCTTTGTAATTTCATGTATGTATTGAAGTAACTGTTGGATCATATTGTTTGTAGGGAGGTGGTGAGTTGATCAACGAGGCTGTGTTGGCGCAGGAGTATGGAGCGGCCGCAGAAGACGTCGCCAGGGTCTGCCACGCGCATCCTGTACGTACACACACACATAAATACATACACACACGTACAGACATACGTGGAAACAATTACACATACTGATACTAGTGTAACACATTGGAGAAAAACGAATTAGCTATCAAATAAATATACAGGGTGACTGGTGAATTACTATCGATACTTGAGGACGTGATATTTGTCGATCATATATGACAAAATAAAAATTAATATAACATAAATATTAATAAACTTCTGAGTAAAGTTAACCAAAAGTTATGTAATTAATTACGCATCGTGTGAACACCCTACAGATTAGGTATACATACACACACACACATACGCGTGCGGCGGCGTGGTGTTGTATCAGCACGCCGCCGCACGCGTCCACACTTGGAACACTTGGAATGTGTCCACACTTTATTTATTTATATGGAAATTTTGTCAAAAATTAAGTACCTATTTTTTTTACATAATTCGAATGAGAATCATGTACCGATTATTCTCCTTAAATATTGATAGTAATTCACCAGTCACCCTGTATATGCATGCACTCATTTTCAAACATACACATTTGGATGTAGACACCTACACATACATACACACACACATGACACACATATTATAGAGACAAATCTTTAAAAATTTTCTTTCTAGTTATGTTTTCTTAATTTGTTTTTTTTCCTTTCAGACGTGCGCCGAGGCCTTACGAGAAGCCAACATGGCTGCGTACATTGGCAAACCAATCAATTTTTAAATTAGATACAATTTTTTATTGTACGATCACTATAGGTCCTAAACCCAACTGGTAGTCAAGTCAACCTAAGGATCTTGTATGAATCTAATGTGCATTCTGGGTATTAATGTCATTAAAGTGTACGATCTATATATAATACGATTTATTTTTATTAATTAATGAAAACAATTTGAAAATTTCCTTTACCAATTTTCATTCCGTTTGCACGAAACTAAATTGTTCTGAAGCATTTACTTCAAGTGAATGTTGTTTATATTCGTGTATCTTTTGTAAATACGTTTAAAATATATTTATCTGTTATTTTTTTTTATTTTTATTTCTCCAGTAATGCGTTTACGAAGATTTAAATACAAAATGCTCCTGTTTTTGTTTAAAACATGCAACCATTAAAGGTCGTGCTGTGTTTTATCAGTTTTATTTACAAACCAAAAACTCTACCCAACGATGATGTTGTTTTTTCTGATAAATAAATAAGTATTTTTTTAAGCAAAATTGAGTTGTCATCGCTATGCAGAAAAATAACAAAACGTATTAGACTATTCTGTGACAATATTTTAAGGTGACGCGAAAGTCTAATATGTGACTGTTTAGAAATACATATAAATAGTTTACAGGGGCGTGCACAGAGATTTGGGATATGGCAAGCAGTATATATTTGAAAAAAAAAAACAATTTATATCATAACTTCCTCTTCTAAAACATTGATATTAATCGCGCATAAAGTAGTACGATCAGAACTAACATCTATATATTTAATCTATCAACTACCTCTGAGCCACAAAAGTACCTCAAAACGATTACAATCTCAAATATCCAGTGAAGATCCAAATATTTTCATTAAACAAGGAAAAAATATATATTTTATTTGTACCCAACCTGATAGCTAATTAAAACTATTGTAATATTTTTTATTAAAAAGAGTAACATACCTTTTTTAGTTGAATCTAAACTGGTCACACACCTTCTCCTTGCAATTATTTTATTTTATCATAAAACCATAACAAACGACAGCGACAAATTCAAAAATCAAACGAGAATGTATTATTAATTAGTTTTGTTAAACACAATTCACCAGTACAGAACTTACAGCTATAATTTTCCATTATTCTTTAATAAATTCACTCGTAAGCTAATTAAAACTTATTCACTTGCGATTAAAAAGAAAATAACAACAAAATGACGAAAAAAATATTTGAACATCATAGCGACCATTCAAATAGTCCCGTTTCATTTGACAATTAACAGACAGTGACGTTTCAAACGAAGGGTAAAGGAAGCAGTGCCTCTCGAACACTAACACATGCATAGTTTTTGCATACAAGACGAGATATGTAGATAGTCATTGAGTTTATTTGTATGTAATATATGTATTGAGTAGTTGTTCATACGGCCGCTCCGGCTGGGAGGGGCTAGCAGTTAGCAGCTAGAATATGTTAGTTTTTACGTTGATAGCTGATGATCCTTTAACAATTTTACCTAATTGTGACTCATGACATTTTAAATGTTCGTATTTCGTAATGAAGATTTAACCCTCTCAGCATTTCATGAATTCACCGTGCGGGTACCGTGTCCAACGCGTTGTAGGCAGAGATTCTGCAACAGTTCCTGGGACTTACTACGTCTTAGGTGTAGGTTTAAGGGGCCCCAATTTAACGCGTGTCAAACGCTCACCTCTACCGTCCAAGCTTCTTTCTCTACCTAACCAAATTTGAAAAGAACCTCCTAGGGCTGCCTTCTACGTATGTTCTGAGAATAAATCGATCTTTGTTTTGGGAAGGCCCAAGTCTTACTTGTTATACCTCTCGCTCCCACTTCTGCCACGTACAGATCCACGACGAACCTATTTACGTGAATTCGTTAGTGAGCTCGTAAAATTTATTAACCTTGATGGTATGGTCTTTGGGAATGTTGGTTTTCCAATGTTTTTAATAAGCTCTATTATCACAACACAAGAAGTGACAGAATTATCTAGGTATATAAATACCAAGTCACGTAAACCTATCATAACAAAAGAACTATGTCATAACAGCGTTATTAGTTTAGAAAGAAATGTGGCTAGTTTTTTTTTTGATTTTTTTATTTATTTGGATCGATTCGTCAATAGAAGTTTCAAATTAATAAAACAGGTAATGAAATTGTAACATTTATTTTGAATGGCATCGGACGGCAAAATGATACATGTACGTATAATAAGCGAAAATTATCACTATTGACTAGAACAAATGTAAAAATATATAAGAAAAATATATAACAATAACAGATTATTGTAGAAAAATAATGGCAATATTGAATAACATACATAACAATAATACTATGAAGAGGCCATATGTGAAAATAAGTTTCAAAATAATATACTTTTATATGGCAAGCATATAATTGCAAAAAAATAACTCCGATCTACTTATATTTATAAAAAGAGCAAGCGTTACTTTGATACAGTAAAAAATATGATGACGATGATATTTAAAATATATCATGAAATGATGTAGTGTCGTGTAATTATTTCATATTATATGTGATTGTAAGCTAATTTCAATTCCAAATAAAGGTATTAACTAATTATAATTGCTCAACCCCATGTATCTAATATATCACTGCACATATTCAAGTAGAATTTTGGGGATAATATTTCGCTGTATTGAGCGCAGTCATTAGAATACATTATAGCTGCCGCCATAGTAGTCGCGTTGGTTTCCATGTATTTACGTAAAACCGTTTCCAATTCAGCAACATTCAGATCATTTTCTAGGTAATAATCTTTGGCTAGACGGAAACATTGTTCCCAAAGTACACTGTCGACTGGGAAAATGCTTATACATTTGTCTATAATTACTGCCGCCTCTTTAGAAAGATCTTTAGTTTTTGTCATCACTTCAGATGTATTCTTCCTCGTGTATTTCATTTCGTCACAACAACATGGCAATGTTTGATATATATTTGGTTCTATCACCGGGTAGGGCTCTTCGTTTAAAATCGTCAAAGATATATCCTTTATACGTTTAGATATTATGTTGGTGATAATTATTTTCAGTTCATCTTTCTTTACAGATACATTTTTCTCCTCCGTATCTTGATGCGTCAGATATAATTTGTCCCTTTGCACTTCATTTTTAAGATTCTCTAGCATAAATCTCAAACAATCTGAGTGTTTCTCTTTATGATATGCCAATTTCGCGGCCATATTTTTATTTGTGGATAGTATTTCTTCGTTGATCCATGGTTTTAGAAGTAGTATCATGTCATCAGCCCAGGTTTTGTTCTGGAAATCTGATATATTATTTAAAGGATTCTTTCTCGGTTCAATATCTTTCCTTGTGATGTCATCAATGTCGAATGGGAACATGATATCTATAGAGTCTATTGCTTGAAATACGAACTTCTTAGTATTTCTCACGGCCGGTATTTTGATAACCCTCTTCGTAGTCTTCATCATTATGATCCTATTATTAAGTTTCTCCAATTCATTGTTACCCTTAAATGTTAATATTTGATATAATTCATAAAGAATTGACGTAAAATATATGTAGTTAATCTAATATAGTATTACCTGTAAGTGCATATTTCCTGTAGAATAAATCTTTCCATTGTCATCTATGAATATAGTGAAGTCTCCGCCGCAAGCGACCAAACATTTAGTATTTTCTTTGGGATCTATTTTATCCGGTGATTTCGGTTCCCTTTGGTTTTCGATAGGAATTTTAACTTCAACAGGTATTTTAACTTGCTTACGATCTCCGGTCCCTAATTCAAAGGAATGTGGTTATTTAATATAATTAAATAGTTATCAATGTTATATAAATACAATACCTAATTGACCATCGAAGTTGAGGCCCCATGTATACAGTGTACCCGTATTGTCAATGATACAGGAGTGGTGCCAACCGGCTGCTATCTGTACCACACGAAAACAAAACAATCAAACATGGCATATAAATACACAACATACGCAGATTAAGCCTCTTAAGAATAATGAGATCTAAGATTTTCGCGAGTCTTACCCATTTAAATGAAACTAATATTTTTCGGTTATACATACTACGAGACTTTATTTTTGATAAACCTGAAAAGTATCCGAAACGTTGGGAGTATGTAGTTTTTATCAAAAAAGAGTCGCATAGTATATCCGACAAATAGTGATTTCGTCCTCTTAAGAATGTGATCAGATTTTTTTATTTAAGTTAATAATAAAATTTACGTATGTTACTACTTTTCTAAATTCCTTAAACACTATTTATCTGATAATTACGATCTAACATCTCTATGTCTCTATAGGTTCCAATATCTCTCTCTTTCATCACGTGACTCACTCTAACCAATCTATCTTACTCTTTAATCATCAGGTAACTCACTCTAACTATCCTCCCTCTCACGTTGCTAGTATCCACTAGTCTCGGCGCTAGATGTCTGTCTGAGTCTTCGTTGTCTTCTTCGTTGCGTCTTGCACTTGCCGCTCGAAGCTGCTGTGGACTCGAACCCCAACACCATAACTGATTCTTATTGGTCAACGCTAGCTATATAAGAAGAAAGAATATACTTTTTCATTAATAGATAATATGGATGGCCATATATGTATATAATTTTAGTTTTAAACTGCTCTCTTAGCGAATTAGATAAACATTTACAAAAATTTTCTGGGAAAGGTTTTATACAAATTCTGATACTATCATGGCGTCCATACATCCATAAAATTCTCCCTGTATCCAATAGTAAATCACTAAATAACGCTATGAAACGAGCCATGCAAAAAAATAAAATATTATCAAAATCATTAACATTATAGAATTCAATAGAAAAGTATCTTAACCACTGACATTATGGAAGTATCCAACAGCAATATCATCCACAGCATCTTGTATGAGGACTCTCAGTGGTAGTGAACTTTTTTCCCTTGACCCGGCGGCCAGTTGTCCGAACACTCCGGCACCACTCGACCAAACTTCACCGTTCTTCATCAGAACCACGGTATGACATGAACCACAGCCCACGTTCAGCACCTGGGGTACATACCTCTCGTTAACAATATTTCACATACATTTTTTCATTCTTGAATACACACAGTATCTATACCTACTAATATTATAAAGGCGAAAGTAACTCTGTCTGTATTTCTGTTACGCTTTCACGCCTAAACCACTGAATTGATTTTAATGAAATTTGGTAAAGAGATAGAGTTGTCCTTGAGAAAGAACATAGGATAGTTTTTATCCCAGACTTTTGAAAGGTTCTCTTGGAAACGCGATATAACTCCACGCGGGCGAAGCTGCGGGCGGAAAGCTAGTTCTAAATATTTCATATTAAGTATTGAATAACGTGACGCTGCTACCAGTAAAAAGGGTGAAGTGCGAAAGACGCGGGACGGAGTAAAAGCAATGTAAACTGGTTAAAACCTAAGAAAACACGTGGGACGTACAAATAACACAACACAATCAACGCAAATGCACAGCTCAGCTTATGCCTCGCGCACTATACGACATTATTGATTTATTAACCGATTAAATTAGGATAGCTCAATTTTTTTAGCTGTGTTACTAGACAATACGTCGTAATCATGGGATGGATTACGATTTCATTCCGTTAACATTACTATAACATCTTTAGGATTACCTTTCTTCCTTGCAACTTTGTAACCAATCGTGGACTGTATTGATCGTCAACGCTGCCTAGACATAATTGTCCATGGACGCCCCAACTGAAAATTCGAACATTTGTTTTAGGTATAAGAAGAGTAATGTAACAAAATTGCTACTTTATTTAAAAAAAAAAAATGCTACTAAGTATTATATGGACCAAACAGTGCATTCTCCATTCAACATTCCCATAAATCTCAAATTTCCGTTTATGTGACTTTGAAGTTGAGGCTTAAGATAATATTAGAATTACATTTATAACAAAATATTTATGAATATACAGTTTCACATCGCACATGCAACAAAAATGAAATTACAATCAGTAGTTTCAAATATAGCGACTTTGAGCTTTGTTGTGGTAACAAGAAGGTTTATTATGGAATAATTAAATATTTATTATAGAATAATTAAATGTTGATGATTATTATTAGTATTTTTTTTTTCTAATTTTCCTCTGTGCAATTAATGTAATATTATTTTATCTGCATGTTACGTGTCTATTCTTCTTTGAAATGTGTGTAACACCTATAATTAAGACAACATTTTGATTTTATGATTACTTGTTCAATATTGTATTTTTCGTTTTTATTAATGTATGTCTTGTTGGTGTTAATAAATAAATAAAATAAATAAAAATTCTGGCTAGTATAGTTCTATTTACCCCCACGTATAGAGCCTTCCGCCGGCATCTACCGCCGCTGAGTGATAGTGACCAGCTGATATTACAATGATAGGCGCCGTCCAATTATATGAAACATGTATTAGCTCCCCTGAAGCAATGGCCGCATCACCAATCGCTCCGCCCCACCGACAACCAACACCTAACTGACCGTAGCTATTATCACCAGCAGAATATATCTGTAAAAGAAAAAACATTTAATTAATCTGTATAAGATAAATCCTCATAATTAATCTGTATAAGAAGTACCCTATAAGAATATTTTGCTAATATATAATTGTTTGGTTTAGATATAGATTGTAATATTGATCTGACAAAATTTAAGGCTTCGTTTATGGCCCTAAAAATGCAAAAAATGTCAAGTCATACGAAATTTCTTATTCTATTCTATTTTTAGGTTTATTTCGAAACTTTGTCTTAATGATAATATATATAGGTTTTAATATAAAAAATACCCCATTCTCGGTCAACAATAGCGTGTGATGTCTTCCGCAGGCTATATCCACAATTTTCCCTATTAACTCCGTATTTACTGGTGTGTTTGCAGCCATTATTTTAGCGTTTCCGTCATCAGTCAATCCCCAATGTCCAAGCCCACAGTTCAAAGATCTTCTCGGTGTGAACGAACTGACCCATGTACCAGGTTGAAGAGTTAAATTAGTCTGTATATCCAATCTAGGGTCACGTGATTCTAACACACACGCTATATTCATAAATGTGTTTATCAACTGAAGCATTCTAGTCGTCTGTGAATGATAATAAAAAAACTCATTATATTATTGGCAAAAAAATACTAGTTAAATATTTATAGGAAGCTTACATATATGGATGTTATTCCTTGTTTAAGATCTCTCATGACAGGTCTCAACTGATCCTGAAGTGGATTCAACCATAGACACAAACGCTGTAACAAACGATAGATACTATAAATAGACTATAGACAAGAATATGTCAATATAAAATGTAGTAAACTTACCTTTAATATAATAGTATCAAATTTGTTGCATTTCTCAGCGATGAAATCAAAAAACCACTGGCCATTTTCTTCAAGTAACACAGGTACAAGGCACTTTTGATTCAAAAGGGCAACAATTGCTCCACGGCAAATAACGCTTTTAGATTTGATGGCATTCAATAGTAGAATAGGGTTTCCTCTGTGGATACTGAATATAGGAACAAACTCCCACAGTCCTATACACGCAGCTACACACGACAGCTCTTGAAATTCCACAGGACTTAAGTTTGTGAATTTAACATCCCTGAAATAAATAAAGTAATCAGCTGATATTATTACTTGAAACAAAACTTTATTAATAATGATTTTGCAACACATATAAAATATTTATTTTCATGTCAATAAAAAGTAATGAAAGGTTTATTAACTTACATATCAAAATTATCTTCACAATTAGTGCCAATCTTAAGAAGCAAGGCCAATAATTTGGCTGTGATTGCCGCATTGCCCAGACTTCCCACGTTGGCCGCTTGTTTGTACATCGACAATTCGTGAAGACGACCGAACACACCCAGGCGAGCTACCCAACCATCTGCCGGACTCTGAACAAAATATATACAAGATATAGTATATCTGATATACCCACTAGCGCACAAACAAACAATTTACAGAATAACAACTCAAACTCAAAAGAATACTTATATATCTGAACAATTAATAGAGACTCACTCGAGATAACGAATAGAGATAGTGTGCTGGAGCTATCTTGCCGCGAGCCAGCAGCAGATCAGCAGCGGCCCGCAGCAGCGGCGGCACAGCTGTACCGAGAGCAGCACACGACTGTTCGGCACACGAACCGCCACGAACTATCAGACCTACCAGCCACTCGCATGGAGAACTCCTGGTTATATAAAAATATTAGAATAGTTTATTTTCATATACATCATCAGCCTATCAGAACCCACTGCTGAGCAAAGGCCGCTTCTCATATGGAGAAGGGTTTGAATTTTAATATTACTGTCCAATTATATATAATCAAATTAGCTTTCCGCCCGCAGCTTCCTACGCGTTGAGTTCGGTTACATCGCGTTTCCAAGAAAACCTTTCAAAAGTTTGGGATAAAAACTATCCTATGTTCTTTCTCAAAGTCAACTCTATCTCTGTACCAAATTTCATTAAAATCAGTTCAGTAGTTTAGGCGTGAAAGCGTAACAGATAGACAGACAGACAGAGTTACTTTCGCATTTATTATATTAGTAAAGAAGTAGGGATTATACAATATGTTACAATTCGCTAAGAACCTTTAACTTTATGTATTCTGATTAAATATAATTGGCTTATTAATAAATTGCAATTAGTTTTAGTTTAGAATATTTATGATGTTAAACATTTTAGTACCTAAAATGGCACAGTAGATTATAAATAAACTTACACTGTATTTAAAACAAAAGCACCATTTGTGGTTATAATAAGACATGGTTCGAGCATGAATCTTGGCAATTGCAAATCCGACATGAAAGTTGGTACTCTCCATCCACCAGCTAATGACCCTGGTTCCTTAGCAGACATTAAATAAGCCCGTTTTACATCGCCAATCATATCTGCCGACCAAAGCATTGTACTATCTTTCTTCACTCCTAACAATACTTCACCCTGTAAAATAAAATTACTATTAGGTACATACAAAATGTTGTGACTCATATATAAATCAAAAATACTTTAATTTTATTTAATATTAGTTTATGCTAAATAACTTCAAATTCATTTTATTATCCTACCTGAGTCTGTGATAATTGCGTACTGTGTATCTCCAAATGATTTTTTTTCAACAAATATATTATTTTCTGCGACCACAATCCTTGTGTGTATGTGCCATCGTTTTTTATATTAGGCCTTAGAGTTCTCGATGGTGTATCTTCTGCTGGACTTTCAAGCTAGAATATTATTAAAAATATTTATATATTTCAATATCATTGATAAAATAAATTAAATATTATATATGATTATCATTACAATTATAATTCCTTCATTTAATTCAAAAGCTGTCAAGAAATGTCTTCCATTCACATATTGTGCTGTTAATGCCCAACTGTTTGAGTTCTTACGAAATGTAGGCAAATATTCAGTTGGCTTCAATAAATACTCGACCGTCTGAATTTTTGTATCACCTGAAATTGAAAATTTTAATGATTAAATCAAAATGCTGCCAATGTTAATGGTTTATTAACATTTTAATACATCATTGTGTTGTAATTATGCATTAATGATTTTAGCATTATGGTAAAAACATCTATATATATATAAACCTTTATAAGTATCAATAACATATTATATGTATGTAAGTAAGTTAGGTAAGTACGAGGTAAGTGAAAATGCTATGTTACCTTTAGATCCACCTTGTGTAAAGAATGTTATTTTGTCTTTGGACAACTGTTTGATATAAGACATGAACCCATCCTTTCTATCGCTCTGAGCTCTGATTTGTTGAAGCCAGTTATATCCGAGGGATCTATGTTCTAATACCAATTTCCATTGCTGTGTGGGTCCTTTGGAAATCTTAAATGTTTTTAAATAATTTAGATGTTTTCTTTATGAAGTTAAAAATATCCCACAGTAAGTATATAGTAAGGAACATATATATTTATACTTATAGAAAATTATACATACCAGAAGAGCCAGTAAGTCAAGGGAATCGTCGAAACAAATTTGTAAATCTATAACTTCCCCCGACACTCTTGTTTCACCAACAACACTTTGTGATTCCAATGAATAAAAAGTTATTATTCCACTCTATAATCAGAAAAAATATTTAAAAGCATCATTTATATTTTAGTTCAATGTAAATTAAAATATTCATAATAACAAAATATACCTTAGACGATATGATAATAATATTTTCAGATTCCTTTGTAAGCCACCAAACAACAGATGTCGGTTGTGGTATATCGAGAAGAGGTAAAACTGTGACACTTGAAAGTGACCATTTACAATCATATGTGTACTGTGGGATGAATAATGGTAGAAATGGCACTAGCAATACTTTTTCATCACTGACAATCAAAACCCAAGTTCCGCTGGGTTCAAAACACATGCAATAAACTGGATTGTCAACAAAATCCCAGTCATATACACTATCGAATCTTTCGGACTGAGCATTTATGTACAAAAATATCAATTCTTTATTATTAGAGACTGCCAGGAATTTTTTCAATCCAACTTCGTAAAAAGTGTGGTTTGCTATATCTTGTTGTAAAAGGACATCTAATTTAAATAAACCAGAAAAGTCCATATTTTCACTTTGTTGAGACATGTCAATAAAAATAAAAAGTTTAAAAACACAACTATTTCGTTAGTCCAAAATCATTGTTTTTGTACCAGTAAAGTAATGATTTTACGTTGATGCCGTTTTCATGTAATAAAATGTTTATTTAGAATATTGATAGCTTTCAAGATAAAAACTGTTGTCAAAATCATCTGATACTCGATAATTTTTAGTTTTGACTTTTAAATTTTGACTTTTGTATTTCAGCTACCACAGATAAACTAGACATGCGTATGAGATTATTACGACCTTTTTAGTAGTTTTTTACACAACTTCGTTGCTCCAATGTCATGATTTCTATTGCCCCGTGATACCTAAGCTTTTATAATATTTTTCAGAAAAACTAAAAAGAACATTGATTAATTTGAATAGTATTATGACATTTGTCTTTTATATTTTTATCGAGTTTTTAATAATATTTGAAGTGCATATGTTTACTTAGGCTAGGCGCGCACTACGAGTTTTTCGCCGGTCGGCAGAAAAACCAGCGACATTGTACCGTTCGGCAAAACATAAAAAAATCTGGAAACGTCGTGTAGTGCGCGCATTCAAAGCTATTCAAATATGTTACAAAAAACGATGAACCACCGCGCCGCAAGCCAGTTGTTATTTGTCATAGACCTTTCGCCGATGCGGTGGCTCTGCCGTCAAGTGCGCGCAATACAATTTAAAACTGTTTTGTACAGTATTACATATAGTGCGACATTATGCCGCTGCTCTTTTTTGCCGCGCGGCGAAAAACTCGTAGTGCGCGCCTAGCCTAATACCATTCTAATTACATGGGATAATTATTAGAATGTAATACCACAGTATAAGGAATATTACCAAACTATTTCCAAAACAAAATAATTTGAGAAATATGATACATAGATTTCACATTTTATTATAAAAATCCTTTTCAAAAATTTCATTTTACTTTAAGAATAAAAGACAGTTTAAACTTGCTGTATGTATTTATTACTTCAACAAATCTGAGATAATGATATAGCAACTCCGTATTATACTTCAATGTCAGGGAAAAGTTTCTGTAAAAATCGTAAATGTATGATGTAGGAACATAAATAAAATAAAAAATGTGCGCAAAATAGGCGCACTAATCAGACAACTTCTCGTTATTTTGATGTTGTTGTTGACAAAGTAAGAGTAAATTTAATATTAATTTTATTTAATTATTTCCCTTTTTAGTTATCTCTATATTTTTGAATAAATTGGAAGACAATTATATAAGACTTTTAAACCTGTTTTTTCGTTTAATAATTTACATATAATTACTAGATAAATTATTTCTTTAGGATAACATGTTAAGAATATAACGCAGAATATAAACATGGAATGATTGTAAAAAAAATCGAAAAGTAACTCATCAAAATGAAGTCATATTTTTCCAGAGGTGTACGGATTCTTTTTAAGAAATATTTACTATTAACTAATAGTATCACCTCTGGTTTATTTATGACTATTGGTGATGTTGTGCAACAAGAATTTGAGTATCAAACCAATGTAATACATACCAGATATGATTGGGACAGGGCAGGTATTTTTTTTTAAGTTATATGTATATTTGGTATGTTTATTTTTTTTTATTTGTGTGTTAATTTCAGCAAGAATGTTTGTCGTGGGTACTGCTATGGGTCCAGTACATCACTATTATTACCATTATTTAGACAAATTACTGCCTGAAATAAGCTTAAAAACTGTTGGGAAAAAGATATTGAGTGATCAGTTGCTAGCATCGCCTTCAACTATTCTATGCTTTTACTATGGCATGGGTTTTTTAGAAAGGAAAACTTTCAAGGAATCCACTGAAGAAATCAAACAAAAAATTAAATTAACTTACATGGTAAGGTTTTAAAACTAATTATTTGGTACATTTTCATGTTAATTGACTTTAAGGTTTTGTAACCTTCAGATTTTTTTATCGTTTTTACCTATTGTATTTCTTCTAACCTTGTAAGATAATGTCCTATGTAATTAGAATGAAGGTAAAAAGTTACTTTATAAAAAACTAATTTCCATAAACTAGCTCACTTATTTTTCTATTGACCCTAGTTCTTATTTATGTTGTATTTCAATACTATGACTAACCACAAACATTAAATAAATGTTAAAACTTACTATATCTTCTACATGGCAATTTAGCAGCTTTAGCCAGGGTCTGCCTTACTAAAACTTATTATTTGTGTATTAAAATTAATTTGGTGATATAATATTGTTGTTTCTTTCCAGGGGGATTGTTTGTTCTGGCCTCCTGTACAGTTTATTAATTTTTACTACTTACCTTCACACTACAGGGTATTTTATATAAACTTTGCAACAATGATATATAATGTGTTTTTGTCGTATATGAAACATTATGATCAGCACAAATAAGTACAAAGAGTTAAGTTTTCATGTGATTCATCAGTAATAAAATAATATATTTCGTTACTCTGTCTTTTTATTTACTCACTATCTTAATAATATAGATTAACTAGGACTGTTATAGAATTCAGTAGCAAAATTTAAGATACTTTTAGTAATAAATTTTCATATAAAAAAAACAATGTTACTTTAAAATAAGTAATAATAATGATTAGTAATATTTATTTAAAACTCAGTCAACCCCAACACATTGTCCAATCATCTCTCCTTGTTTGTAATTTAACTATGATTCTATACAATGCTAATGCTGGACCTAAAGGCAGGCCCAAGCCCCTAACAATATCCGCTCTTCTCGCCATACTTAATGCTTGTCCATCAAATTCCTAGAAAAGACAAAACTTTTAATATATCTACTATGAAATATATCAGTAATATTGATATAAGGTGATATCTATCAATTAATACATCTGTTTTTCTTTTAATTTAAATTTCTACTAGGTTAGACAATCTTATATGCAAAAAAATATTTTTTAACACAATCTGAAAACTTAATCATAGCAAAAGAAATTTATTCAATATTTCCTTCTTTAAAACCTATCTTAATTGGTATTTCAAAAGTTGAAGTTCTATTTTTGGTCATAACCCTTATCCATAGTTAAATAAAATTTTACATAATTATTAGATGTCCCCTTAAAATAACATACTTTCTATAAAAATATTATTTATATTACCTGTTCTTTTAAAATGGGAGCAGCCTCAGGGAAATGCTGTTTAAAATACTCATAAACATCGTCCACATTCCAATTACTTATATCTGGTATTTTTGGATCTATTGGGACTTCATTGTTTAGTTTAGTCGGTGCCCTATCTAATTCATGTGGCTTCAAAAATGGGTCTATTGAACTCGAGTCTTTTCCTGTATATTCTATGTTGTTTGGGATTCCTGGAGACGCGGCGGCTGACGGACGTGATTCCAAACAATTATTGCATTCCCATTGATCCCAAGCCTTGAGCCGTTCAGGTATTCTTGGTGTGTGGCACAATGCATGATAAGAATCTGAGCATATGCTACACACAGTCAAAATACCCTGAAATAAAATTATAATTGCATTTATATTCTTAGATATTAACATAAAAAAGCATATATATATGGTTGACTTGAAAAACCTCCATCTTTTTGAAGTCAGTTAAATACACATATAAATTTATGAAAACAATAGAAGAAATAAACAATTATAGTGGGTATAATATGTGTGAATATATACTTACAGCATCATTTGTTTCACAGCAAACCACACAAGTCTTGCAGTGTGGACATTGCCAGGTGTTATCCGGTCTCGGTTTAAGGATCCCGGATCCAGATTGTAAGCAACTTAAATGGGCTTTATTATTACAATCCCTACATTCAACCAATCTATCATTTGAACCGCGCGTCTTCTGTATCAAGCACACAGAGCATACACCTGATGTTTCATGTGATAATGGTTCATCGTTATTCATTTCATCCCCACTCCCATCCAATGACTGTTGACTTTCCGACAGTTGAGTGTCTTCTTTGTCTTTGCCAGCGATCATTAACCTCTTTTTTATTGTACTTTTATTCAACGATCCCACTGGACGTCCTCTCTTACGTTTGCTGGGTACATTGTTATCTGATGGGTCGAATACTTTTTTTGCCATTTTACGTCTCTCGCCCACTCTTACTCCTGAATTATGATTGTTGCTGTGTGTACTGCTATTTGAAGCTCCACCTCCCCTTTTTTTTGGTCTTCCTCTCATTCTTTGAGGGGAAGATCGGCAAGATGAATTGGCTGATGAGGTCATCTGGAATATGGTATAGATATAAGCATAAATATCTAAAAAATATATTAAGGAAACTTAGAACTTTACATTACAATTTTTTTTTAATCCAAATGTCTTAGTAAAAATAAGTTTTTTCTTTGTAAGACTATGAAATTCAAATATTAAAAAACTAAAATATTTATAAAGCAAGAGTTTCTATTGCTATTGCCAGAAAAATTTGATAATTTATACTTGCTTCTCTCATTTCACACTTAATTCAGGATTACATGGTAAGGCGAAGTTATACATTTATATTAAAATAATTTACCTTAGTGTTTGCATCATTATATTCAAATTTAAAACTATCTGAGCTGTCTCCGTCATGATCTGCAGGTCCAAGAGCTAAAGTACCATTCGGTAACTTAACCAGACTGCCTGATATAAGCTCTTTATTAATTATAGTTATCAGCTGCTTCTTAGTATACTTTGATTCTTGATTCGAAGCTACTCTTACAAGATCAGCAAACGCAATACCATTCTCCAAATAACTTTGATCTTGATATATTAATGTTGCTATCGCTGATGTTATTATTCTTCTTTCACTTTTCGCAATGGAACTCATTTCTGTGGATCAACGGATAATATTGACGAAATTATTATATATTTTTTGTAGTCAAATGTAATTTAATTTAAAATTATTTCATCATTTGAAACGTAGCACGAAATAAACAAAAATAAGGAAATCCAATGAAATACCATAAGGCCACATGCAAGGGCTCTCATGCACTTGAATGCTCAATGAATTTGGAAAAAAATCAAGAAATAAAGAGCTCACTCTTGTTTTGGGAAGGTTTTTTTCGCCACTTAGCTGCGTTTCTATAGCTTACATTATCTTTATAATCGACTTTATATATGCTTTTCTCTTTGAGACAACGTTTTAAATCCGCTTTTGTATCCTTTGGTGCTACTTTATAGCACTTTAACATAAATTTGCAAATTCTATTTATGTCAGGACGTGATTTTCGTGATCGTAAATGGTCTATCGCTGCCAGAATTTGATTTTTATACTTAATCTCTGACATTTCTGAAAATATAGTGAAAATTATTTTTATGTATCGCATAATCTATGACAATTATACTTTATTAAAATAAACAGCATCGCTTACCTGAACCAATGCATGCCGATAATTTTAAATTTCTTTTTAGTTTGTGTTTTTATACGGCAACAATAAAATAAATTATAATAAAAACAAAAAAATCCTAAAATAAAACTTAGTTTTGTCACCATCAAACGAGTGTTCGAGATTCGTACAAACGAAGATCCAGTCACAGTCCGGACGGACTACTGAGGTACGCACTCGGTACTTGATAGTAAAGTTAAGCAACTAGTGAAGCGCTATGTATTACCGTTCCCCAACTGTCCTTAGTACTGTCACTAGGTACACAATTGAAGTAAGACTGAGTCTACATTATTATATGTTCGATTTTTTGAAATAAACAAAAAAGTATTTATTTTAATAAATAATTTATTTAAACTCATTTTTCCCATTTTAGGTTTAGAATACAACATATATTGTTAACTATGTTTTAACAAAATGAGTACCAAATTAGTACCAAAATTAGGTGTCATCTAACATCTTAAAGACTTAATATGTCAAATTCGAATGATACATATAGTAACAATCAGGTGTACTAAAGAATAGCTTTAGAATTTTTTTATGTAGATCAAAGAAAGAAATAAATTACCACCATAGAGTGTCTTATATATTTATAAAAAAATGTATACACTTGTTTTGATACCATTACGTTTTAAAAATAGGAGCCCTAACCTATTAAGAGCTCTTTATTCTTCACAACCACAACAGGAATCAAAGAAAGATATAGGCAAAGTAGTTAATGTTGCTATTGTAGGGGCTCCCAATGCTGGAAAGAGTACACTCATCAATAAAATTGTGGACAGAAAGGTTATATATTATTTAAGAGTGTTATTAATTTAAATCATATAAGTGCTCTTATGACTTATTCTACCTGACAATTTGACAGCTTTAGCCAGGGTCTGTCTTACATGTCGTGAATAGTTTTGGCTAATTGTTTTTACAACCGGCCACCTGCATGACATCAACCCTCTTTGGGAATTCATTAATCAGTGATGTCTAAATACTATTAGAAAGTACATATGACTCGGAAAAATCACATTGGTACTTGCCAGGATCGAACCCGCGCCCTTATGCATGAGAGGCGGGCCTTTTAACTATGAGGCCACCACGGACTTATGTATACTTATTAATATCAGATAATTATATTTTTCAGATTTGTGCTGCTTCAAACAAAGTTCATACAACTACTAAAATGGTTAGAGCTATGTGTTATGATAAGGAAACTCAAATTGTATTTTTAGACACACCTGGTGTTGTAAATATGAAGGAGAAAAAGAAGTGAGTAAAAAAATGCCATATAAAGGTACCTAAATAATTAAAGTATTGGGAGTGGTTAACCCTTTCAGACCCTGCGTACACAAATGTACACATAAAATATAATAAAAAAAAATGATATTAATTTCGTTACAAGTGCAATTGAGAACGCTTGTATTCATATGTCCACATTATAAACTATAAAAATGTATACTATTAATGCTATCTCTTAGCATTTTTTGTGACTTTTTCGACATGATTCGATCAGTGGCTAACCGAAGTTGGACCGATGTGGGTAAGCTCGTCATTTTTATTTCTAAAAAGTAGGAAATAGCTAAATATGCGCACTGCAAAAATATAAATTGATGTGTTATATTCCTAAGGTCATAAGTAACATATAATTTGAGTTTATTATTCTATTTTTGTATCAATTATCACAATTTTTATATTTGTACACAAATGTACACATCAGGCGTAAACAATGTTTTTACATTGCTGAAGCATTTTAGCTGTATTTGCAAAATCTATTTTGAATATGTTTGTAACTATAATAATAATGTTGTTGTTGTTTATGCTATATAAAATATATGTTATATGTTGAGATAAAATATTTTTTTACATTTTCACATAAAAAAACACCGATATGTTTTCACCAGACGCCTTGAAAGCCCTATGCGCTGGAACTCTTTCCGATTTGGAGCTATAATCTGATAACGAAGAGTCGTTTGGATTTACATCTGAAAGAGAGTTGCAGTCTGTCAGAGTAGTTGCAGATGTCATCAATCAAAACCAACGAGAGGTATTCCCACCCGACACTGAAGAAGATGAAGTGCCTAGCTCATTGTGGATTAGATCGAATGATCCAGGAGTTACTGACACCTGCGATGAAGTGGTTCTCGAAGTACCACCGACAAGAGAAACAGAATCCTCTCATGAAAATATACTTCAGAATATTGAGCCTAAACAGAACATTAGGTGGAGACACAAGGAACTCCTAAACAACAATAAAAAGCCTCGAGCATTTTCTCAAGAAGTAGTTTTGACGAAGATGTAACTGTGGTCAAGTGGCTCGATAATAAGATTACCCATCTTGCTTCTAATTTTGTTGGTATTGGTGAAAAAGACTTAGTCAGCAGGTGGTGTAAGAAAGATAAGAAATTTATTGACATTGAACGCCCAGAAGTCAGGAAATACAATCACGCAATGGGGGGAGTTGACCTATTAGATAAACGCATGAGCTACTACAGAACCTTCATAAAATGTAAAAAATGGACTCTTCACATGATATTTCATGCTTTTGATTTAGCTGTAGTGCAGGCGTACCGAGAGTACCAAACTGACAATGCGCTGCTAGACATACCAAAGAATAAACAACTCTCGTTGCTTCAATTTCATCGTCAGCTGGCTGAAAGTCTGGTGTTGAGGAATAAAATTATCATCGGTAAAAGAGAACGGCCCAGTGGCAGTAGCCCAATACCGCAAATCATTCCAAGAAGACCAGGAGAGATTCGCCCTGTAGCGGATCTAGCAAAAAACGGTGTTGGGCATTTTCCTGCACATGATGAGGGACTTGGGACACGGTGCAAAATGTTTGGATGCAAGGGAAGAACCAGGATTAAATGTATACAATGCTAAGTTCACCTTTGCCTTACCAAAGATAAAAACTGTTTCTTAGCATTTCATACGTAAATTTATGAAACATGCTTTTTGAATGTTCAAATGACTAATTTACCTATGTTCCAATTAGCTGCCTATCCCATAGAAAAATCTTTTTTTTGCTAATAATTATAAGAATTGTACTTAAGTTTTGTTAGTTTTTTATTTCTTATTAAAAACATTGAGAAATTAAACTTTTTATAATTCCAATGAAAAGCCCCTAACAGTAGTCTTATCATTACGTAAGACGGATGTGCACATTTGTACACAAAAAGAAAAACGTTATTTTCTTAAAAACCTGACAACCAGGATTTTTTTCATTATTTTTTCCTTAGTCTTTTTACTCTACTCTAGCTTCATTTTTTTTTTAGATTCATTGGACACAAAAAAAATAATTCAGGTCTGAAAGGGTTAAATATCTAAAAACATTATGTACATTAATTGCCTCTAAAAATATGTTGTATCCATTTTGTTAAAGTCATCATTGTTTTTATAACAAATTTATTCTATTTTCTAATTAATTCAAAACATACATTATATACTAGCAAGTTTATCATAATCTCATACATATATACATATAAGGATTCATATATGTGAAAGAAAACCAATTAAGTTTGTCAATTCTTTGGTTTCGGGATTTATGTTTTATTTTTAATATTAATAAATTTTTTCAGGTATAAATTGCCAGAATCCATGCTTCAAGCCTGTCAGAAAAGTCTCAGATGTGCCGATGTAATAGGTTTAGTCCATGATGTATCAAATCGGTGGACAAAGAATTATTTAAATACAGATGTAGTTAAAATGGTTGAAATGGTGAAAGAAATTCCTAGCTTCTTAATTCTTAACAAGGTTTGTACATATATAATTTGTAATGCCCAACAATAAGGGAATTAATCTGTATAAAGGAATCTCAGTTTCTTTGTTCAATAAATGCTGTTTATTATACAGTAAAAGCTTATAGTTTTTAAATCAATAAGAATTGATAATATGCTTTACAATATTGTGGTCATAATAAACAAAATACTACTAATGTTGGAGTATATTAAAAAAATATTGATATTTTATTTTTTTCCCTTTACAGGTTGATGTTTTAAAGTCTAAAGCACAGTTATTGACAATCATTAGAAATCTTACCAATGGTATAATTGCTGGTAACCCTATACCAAATACAGATAAAAATAGTAAATTAGAAAAAGGTTACAGCTATTTTTCTGATGTTTTCCAGGTTTCTGCACTGAATGGTGATGGTGTTGGGGATATTAAGGTACAATTTAATAATTTTACTTTTTACCTCTAATAAAAATTATATTTTTATTTATTATGTTAAAGCAAAGGCTTTCAATACCTATAAAAGCCTGTAGATGATCCAAATGGACCTTTGCCTTATGAACTGTAAAGTAAAATAGAAAAAAGTATCCTTTCAAGAAATAAAAGCCCTTGTTTATAAGTTTTCCAGTAAACAATTAGTCATTAGCTCTAATACGAGCTACAGCTCAATATCGATAGTAAGCAACCTGTCTCATTTAAAATTAATTACTGTACAGAGGTTAATAATTTGCTACCAAGTAAGGGGGACATTTTATTTGGGCTAATTTAATTAGTTAATAGTTTGGTAGAGGCACAGCAAATTTTTGTAGAGATAAAGTAAAATGGGTCTATTTAATTAAATTTGGAGCTTATATAAAGTATTCATTCGTAGCATTTATTACTGTAACTGAGTTAGTACATTCACTACCTACCACTTCATCTCATCCTTCCCACTGGGTGGAATGACAGTCAAGCACTATCTAGTAAAAAAAGTTGTGAGATCCCAAGATTTATTTCTTAACATTAGGGAAAGAGTATTACTAATGGTTTAAATTTTTATTACTTCTATAATTGGATCTAGTTTAAGTGTTACCATTACTGAGTAAGCTAAATGTAATAACTAATTGTGAAATATTTTCAGCAATACTTGATCAACAACGCAAAAATTCGGAAATTACATTATTCGCCAACCGAATGGTCAGATCAGACACCTGAGAGGTTAATAGAGGAAGCGGTTAGAGCGAAGTTTCTAGATTTTCTAGCGAATGAAATACCATACAATTTGAAGATACATTTGGAGTATTACGATGAAATTGAGGAAGAAGATAGGATTTTATGTTCAGTAGCTGTTGAATGTCCTTCAGAGAGATTGGCTAGATTAATAAGCGGCGCGGGCGGAGGCAGGCTTCAACAGATCAAGTCGCACGTCAGAAATGACCTCATGGAAATGTTCAAGAAAACTGTCATCATAGGTCTTAAACTGCAAGTTAAAAGTAAACCCGAAATTGAAAATGTTGTATAGGCTCTGTTGATAGTTTTTAAATAAATTTAGTTACGATCTGTCGTTTTAATTTTCGTAGATAGTTTTAATATAGCTGTTTATTATTCCCTCTCGAAATATTTACGTTAAAATATGTATTTGCTAAAATTAGTTGTATTTTAATTAAATATAATTATTATAAAAGCCTTTCCAGTATACAGAGCTGTCTGATTTTTAGTCCAAACGCCTTAAATTTGATAACAATACAATGTCATTTTCAGTATTATTTAAATTTCTAGATGGTCGTTTCTTCAAAACTGAAGGCTAAATGTTTTCTCATAAAGCACCAATCAACGCATTATATTCATAAAAAATGAATGGGAAAATGTAGGAAATTATAAAATAAGAGATATAATAGTCTGTTAAGTCAGTCACAATAGTAGAAACTTAAAAATGAAACTAGTAGGTAAATATTTTTTTAACGTTAAAATTATAATGAAAAAGCATTTATAATGAAGTGACCTATTAACGTCATTAGATCTGACCTGAAACCCAAACTTTACTAAATTAACAATTTAAAAATTGCTTTGTATTTCAATAAAGGTTCGACTTGTGATCGTGGCAGTGAACTTTCCATTTTGTATTATTTGACTTAATTCAAGCAGTAACCCAACATACCTTTATGTTAATAATATAAACATACAATCTTTCCAAGTTACTTTACTTTATTACTATTGAATTTAGGGCCAAGAAACAACAGACCTCAAAAGAGATAGACACCAGGTTTAATCATATTATATTTGTGTTATATGAGCAATTAAATAAATTCTATATATTTTTATGACAAGTAAGTGTTGGCCTAGTGGTTACAGGCCCTCTCGTGTTCAGAGGGCGCGGGTTCGATCGTGGCAAGTACCAATGTGATTTTTCTGAGTCATATGTACTTTCTAAGAGTATTTAGACATCACTGACAGACCGTGAAGGAAAACATCGCGAGGAAACCTGGACTAATCAGTGGCGGCTGGTGGGTTATCTAACTGGTGGTACACTTTACTAAAATATTAAAATTAGAAAATGCACCAAAAAACTAATTGACATACAATATGTTTATTTTTTATACATTAATTAATGCAACGACATGTTGCCGAAGCGAAATGTTCAATCACCTATTTATTAAAATCAGGTATTGTTTGTATATATTTTTTTATTTAATACTAAGCACAGAAAGTGCATTAAGCAACTGCATGGTATTTCGGAGAAAAGTTTTATTCTTTTCAATTCTAATTCGTCATACATCGGGTGATCTCGGTAATCTTCGGTCGCTCGTGCGGCGCTCGAGAACCGACTCATTACTCGGTACATTTCTATGAACTATCTTTTGTCTCACGCGTCAGGCGTATTAATGCGTATCTCATACAAGATGTATTAGCAGTCCTCGTGCACTCGCCGAAGCGCACGAGATATTAGTTTAGTACAGCGCTCAAACTTTTTGACTATAATTAGAAATTTAATTTTTTATACGTTTTTGTATGTTAAGAAAATAAATATTAAAATGGTAATTTAAAAATAAAGATGGAGTAATATTTGGTTAATTTTAAATCTTTTGAATTGGTGGTTCAGCGCACGAGTGCACTTAAGGTACAGCCGCCACTGCTTATAATTTCACAATTATAAGTTTGAAATCACTTACTCGTCTTGAGCAAGCGTTGTGATTAATGCTTAAACCTTCTCCAGGTGAGAAGAGGGCTTTGATCAGCAATGGACAGCCCATAGGCCAATAACGACGACAATGATGACGATTTCTATGACAGTAACTTTTTCAATCTCTGGCAACAATGGCTACGATTCGTAGAAATAGTTATAATAACATTTTGCCATTTATCTGCGTGCTTGAAGTAATTTTGGTATTAAAAGGAAACATTAAACACCATAAACATGATCCAAACAATGCTAGGGATAAGAGAAAAGCACTCAAGAATCGACTGTAGAGTATCAATATAGGGACCCGCGTTTATCGAGAATCCTTAAAACAATACTCGGTCCAAACAAAGAGCTTTGTAACGTAGATGTAAACAGGTCGATGAGTCAATATTTGCTGACTTCAAATTTTTTCCAACATTCTATATAAATACATTTCAAAGTATTGGGTATATATTTATTTTGGACGTTAAGACAATTATAAACTCAAGTTATTCAATCAAATCTGTGTCATAAGATGCGTCTTTATTGACAAGTATTGTGGATAAAAATAACATTAACGTAAAATTTACTAGCGCAAATAAAGCTTAATATTATACAAATTCGAGTACATTTTACATAAAGTGATACCTAGCTCAAGTTTAGTTTCAGTAATTCAATACTATGAAGTTCATCTTATTATAATAAGTAAATGCGTTGAATCGTAGCGGTTCAAACCGGATCTGCAGAAGCTTTTAAACACTTCAACGAATGCTGGCGTACCCACTTCAAAGAATTACTAACATTCGTGAATAAGGTTTCAGCAAATACGAGTATTATAAGGTCATATAATAAGTAGGTATTTCATATAACTTAATACCCATGAACGCAACGAACATATGTATAAAGGTATTCCAAAATTAATGTTTAATCCTGAAATTTGAATAGAAAGGTAAATATGTATTATAAACCTTTTGTATACAACGGAATCTGCACTTTCAAAAGCGAAGCCAATTTGTACTCATATGCAGCCAGTAAGCCGTGCCAACTTTCTGTGCACTTAGCAAGCCGTTAAAACCCTCCTTCATAACACTGATAAGCACCAACCAAAGGATAAACCATCTGTTTATGCAAATTGCTAACTTCTTTTAGTAATTTTATGCTTAAAATTTTGAAAATATAGATAATATTTACAAAAATTTAAAAATATCCGTAGCGTTATGGGTTGTGTCGAGGTGAACTAAATATTAAATAATAAAACTGACTTACTCAGCGTAAAGGAAAAAATTTAAAGATTTTATTAAAATGAATTTCAAACATAGGTAGAGGGAATTGTTTATTGATCCAATTTAGGGAAAATCACAAAAAGCACAAATTCAATACAGCGAGGACAATTTAATAAGCACAAATAAACTAAAATATTGGAACGGCCACGCAATAGGTAGTACCAGTAATATTAAAACATCTAACTAAAGTTTAGCAGTCAGTACCTACTCATCTTAGGGCAATGGGGTTTTTGAATTATTTTTTTTTTTTGTGATAAATGGAAAGATCATATATAAGTTTTATAACAAAACTATTTTTATTTTATTTTTTTTTGCAATATTTAAAAAGTTATTTCAAAATAAAAATTAAATTTTAAATTCAGTACCGAAGACAAGCCGACAGCTCGTGAATAAACCCGAGCGCGTGTGACGTCACAATGTTAGTTTTTGCTCATTGTAGCATACAGAGATATAATAATTAGTACAGTGTTTTGAGTTTTTATCTAGTAAATTCTGTTGGCATTGTTAAATAATCAAAAGTTTTGTACCATTATGTACAAAGACTACAAAAACAACTCCTGAAAAAATGTTTTTAAATGTTCCACAAGACGAAAAACGTCGAAAGAAATGGTTTCAAGCAGTGCATCGAGATTATTCAAAAACAAAATCATTTTTTTTTGTTGTGAAGATCATTTCGTTGTAAGTTTTCATAATAGTATTGTTATTAATTATTATTTATCTAAGTGTATAAATCGAATAAGTATAGTTCAATAATTAATTTTTTTACCTGGGCTCCAAATCATAACCTTTAGAATCGTAGCATTAAAAAATTTTAATTGATAATTCAAAGCGATTAAATAGTAAATCTATATATATGTTTGTCTAATAATTGGACTTCAATTAATAGATATTTTCATAATTTTATAACATTCTAGGTTCTGTATCAGACTACATTTAAATTTTTAAAGTACATATATGTTATTTTGGTTTTTTTATAATAACATTTTATTAATAATGATTTAATGAAATAATTATTAATTATATTTAATAGAGAATAAATACTAATTTTCATTTAGAATAGTATTTTTTGACAGACTTACCTTGATGTCTTAGCACCTCGAACTTCAGCAAAATTAAACCGCACTTTTTAAAAAATTAGTTATCATAAAAATATATTAACATCAGGAATATTATCCGATTTTGCTTTTATAAATCCTTTATCACACATAGTCGAAATAAACTTTTCAAATCGTTTTTCACTAATAAATTTGAGATATTTTTATCAAGTTAAAGATAATAGCCATAAACACTGTACTATTATGAAATTGCTTTAACATTATGACGTCACAAGTATGCTGACCAATCATGGCGCGTTTACAGTCACGTGATATATTTTTGAATTTTATCAATTTTTAATTGTTTATAATTAATTTAAAAAATATATTTCAAGTTTTTTGCATTAAAAATCCAATATAATTAATAATAAAGTTTTAAAATACATAAAAAAAATCAATACTTTTTTTTTTTTCAAAAACCCAATTATTTGATCTTACAACTTATTGATGCAATTACAGCTTCGAAATTGCCACAGCACAATTTTTACTTAAATTTATGCAATTTATTGACAAAAATGAAATCGCTTCTAATGTATTCAATTTACTACTTCGTAAGTTTATAGAATCCTAGTAATAAAGCAATAGAGGCATAATTGTTTTCTTATTTTCCTATTAGTTTTGATATATTACGTATTTATAATAAGAAAAAATAAATGTCTGCAATTAAGACATGATATTAAAAATGTATTAATATGGAAACAAAAAAAATATAATAATTATTTTCTGAACGAAAATATTCCTGTCCTGAATTCCGAAATCTACGTGACAGAAGTCAACAACTTATAAAAAGAAATTAATGATCAGTTTATAAATTGAATGTCGAAAAAGAATGATTTCGGTATACCATGACCAATACACCACCAATATACCATCAATATTTTTTTTTATGTCTCGACAGAATGTTTCTCTTTAAAAACTTTGTTATAACTAATAATATTTCTTCTAAAATAGCTTACGTTAGTTATTGATATATGTATAAACAATA